CTCAGTCCTGCTCCTTCAGCTCACACGCCCGCCCTCCTCAGTCTTCCTCCTTCAGCTCACTCCCCTTCCTCCTCAGTCCTCCTCCTTCAGCTCACACGCCCGCCCTCCTCAGTCCTCCTCCTTCAGCTCACTCCCCTTCCTCCTCAGTCCTGCTCCTTCAGCTCACTCCCCTTCCTCCTCAGTCCTCCTGCTCCTTCAGCTCACTCCCCTTCCTCCTCAGTCCTGCTCCTTCAGCTCACTCCCCTTCCTCCTCAGTCCTGCTCCTTCAGCTCACTCCCCTTCCTCCTCAGTCCTGCTCCTTCAGCTCACTCCCCTTCCTCCTCAGTCCTCCTGCTCCTTCAGCTCACTCCCCTTCCTCCTCAGTCCTCCTCCTTCAGCTCACTCCCCTTCCTCCTCAGTCCTGCTCCTTCAGCTCACTCCCCTTCCTCCTCAGTCCTGCTCCTTCAGCTCACTCCCCTTCCTCCTCAGTCCTCCTGCTCCTTCAGCTCACTCCCCTTCCTCCTCAGTCCTCCTGCTCCTTCAGCTCACTCCCCTTCCTCCTCAGTCCTGCTCCTTCAGCTCACTCCCCTTCCTCCTCAGTCCTCCTGCTCCTTCAGCTCACTCCCCTTCCTCCTCAGTCCTCCTGCTCCTTCAGCTCACTCCCCTTCCTCCTCAGTCCTGCTCCTTCAGCTCACACGCCCGCCCTCCTCAGTCTTCCTCCTTCAGCTCACTCCCCTTCCTCCTCAGTCCTGCTCCTTCAGCTCACTCCTCTTCCTCCTCAGTCCTCCTGCTCCTTCAGCTCACTTCCCCGGTCCTCCTCCTCACATGCAGGTCTGATGCTCCTCTCTGCTGCTTTTTCCATCTTCACCTGAGGACAGAATTTATCTTCAGATAGAGCGGGAGGGAGAGAGGGAGGGAGAGAGAGAAACATCGACGTGAAGGGACACATCGAGTGGTTGCCGCCCGCACGACCCCAACTGGGGCCCGGGACAAACTGCAACCGAGGTACGTGCCCTTAGCGGGAACCGAACCCGGGCCTCTCTGGTCCACGGGCCGACGCTCCAACCACTGAGCCAAACCGGCCAGGGTTCCTCTCCCTGTTTAAACTGTGCAGTTCTGCTATAAGCTCTTACTGGATGCCACCCCTATATCTGGGTCCACTCCCCCCCCCAACAGCACCCCCCTTGCCTCCTGGAGATGCTCCCTGGGCTCCAACCACATCAAGTGACTCCGAGTCTTGGCTGTGGCTTGTTTTGGGGACTGCAGTTCACTCTGCCCGGAATGCGTCTCCCCTGGTCCCGCAGGCCAAGTCCCTGCTGGACTTCCAGGTGGGGCTTCCTCCCTGGCTCCCAGGCTCCCGGGCTCCACCTCTCACTGCTGTCCTGAGTCTGTCTGGCTCCCTATCCTCACCTGAGGACATTTTTCCACTTTTCTTGTTCAGATAGAGTGGGAGGGAGAGAGAGGAAGAGAGAGAGAGAGAAACACCGACGTGAAAGGGACACATCAAGTGGCTGCCACCCACATGACCAACCAGGACCGGGGACGAACCGCAACCGAGGTACATGCCCTTAGCGGGAACCGAACCCGGGTCTCTCTGGACCACAGGCCGACGCTCTAACCGCTGAGCCAGACCGGCCAGGGCCAGATGCTCCTTTTTTGTGTTCCTGGTCGGTCAGCTTTGTCCCCCCAGGACTTTCATGGTGGAACCTGGGATAGCAAGTCACCCTCAGTTTGTTGGAAGAGCGAAGGGGAGGGGCCTGCTCTGAGTTAGTGAGAAGCCTTCATCAAAGTGGTGTTGGGAAGTCCCCAGGCCACACCATATTATGCACTAATATGGATTTCCAAGCTGGGGGCACTGCTGGCGGGAGTGGGGGGGGGTATCAATTTTTGGAAGAGAAGGAAGCCAGAGGCTACAGATTTTGTGGAGTTTGATTAGCAAACACAGTCCTGTGAGGAAGGGAAAATTAGCCAAGAAATTGAAGGGACAACTACCAACTTACATTTAATCTGACAGGGAAGGACATCACTGAGCTAGCTGATGATGCTTGTTAGCAGTCTGCAAGGCAGGGAAGGACAGGGGCCCCATATGGGTGTCCACAGCTGTACAGGTGTGAGGAAGTCTGACTTGAGCCCGCTTCGCCTGACTGGCTGATGAGGCATGGCATGAGGTTGCACCCGTTTTTGCTGGCGGGGGTCTCGCTTTGAGCTGCCCCGACACTATGGTTCATCTCTCACAGCTGCTCTGCGGGGCTCACCGCCATGCCGCTCCAGGCCAGGACCCTGGCTGACCCGACCCTGAAGGCCTTGGCCACTCAGCCAGTCTCTGTTCTGGATCTGGTTCCTCTCTAACGCTAGTCAGGCCCTTCCCTGGCCTGCCCCTCATTCCTCCCCAAAGGATTGGCAGAACAATGGGGAATGGGCTCTGAGGAGCCTGATTTGTGAAATATACTGATGTTGACCCTAATAAGTATATACCTGCCAAAAAGGACTCCTCGTGGTTAATCGGGCTCAGATTAACCAGTGTAGTGGCCATTGTTTACAAAGGTCCCTCGTGCACACTGCAGCTCAGGGAAAAGCTATATAGACGGGCTGCCAGGCCTCCTGCATTGTCTTCCAGCCCAGCTGAGCTGACCCTTATAAGAGAGCTGCTAGGATCAAAATTGGACCAATAGAACTGAGACTTTCCCCATCCAGTCAGAGCTGCACAATTGTATCTCATTAGCATTTTCACCTGTATCAGAGCAACTCCATTCCAACCAATCGGGACAGTGCTCTTTGGACCCACCTGTGAGAATTTGGAGTCCTTATTTGCATGAAAGTGGACCAATCAGGGACCAGGGGTGAGTACTTCTTTCTATATAAGCCTGCTTTCAGGACCACTTTTTCAGTTTACACCAAAGGCAGCCTTGGTGGCCGGAGTTACTGCAAAGTGTAGCTGAAACATCCCATCAGGGGTTGCTTGTTGTTGAGTTGAACTGGCCCAGAAACCAGGTGGGGTCTGAGAGCACCTGTAGTTGCCTGTAGTTTGACCGAGCAACGTCAAAATGCAGGCCACACGAAAAAGGATGGGCACAGCAAATGCTACAGAAGGTCCTGGGGGGTTCGGAGGAGCTCCAGATGTGAGGGACCTCAAGCTTGCAGACCTTTCTTTTTGAAGTGTTACTACAAACCCATTGAGCATTAGGTGAGACAACAAAAGTGCTTCAGTGAGGGAGCCTGACAGTGATCTCGGTCAACTGGAGGTCGCTTCCCATCTTCTGAGCCTCTGCCTCTGGTCTATAAATGAGGAATAAGTACCTCCTGAGTTGCTGTGAAAATTAGCAAAACCTGCCCTGGCTGGTTGCTAAGTGGTTAGAGCATCTACCTGCAGACCAGAGAGTCCGGGCATCAATTCCAGTCAAGGGAATGTACCTAGTTTGGGTTTGGTCCCCCACCCTGGTCAGGGACCTGCAGAAGGCAGCCCACTGATGTGTCTCTTTCACGTGGATGTTTCTCTCCCCACCCCCCCTCCCTCCCACTCTATATCTGAAGATAAATGGAAAAATATTCTCAAGTGAGGATTTAAAAACCACCACCAACAAAAAAAACAATATTGAGGAACAACGATGGGACAGTGCCTGTCACACAGTAGTAGGTGCCCAGTATTTAGGGTTTTTGTCCCTAAAGGGGGAGTTATTTGTAATAAGTACAATAAATCACCTAAATTGATTTGTCAAGAAAACCCCAGCTGAGCCTGAGCAGGCCGGATTCAGACACACACCCAGTTTCTCCTGCAGGAGTGTGCGCGTCCACTGACCCTGGCCACGTCCTGATTGGGATCCCAGGTCACTCAGAACGGGGAGCCCTGGTCCTTCCGCCCAGGGGCAGTGACATCCGGGGGGCGGCCGGGGACGCGAGCTCCAGGACCCTCCTCCAGGCCATCCCCTCCCCAGCACCCTGCCCTGTGGTGGGTGGGCTTGGGCTCCAGGCTTTCTGGCCGGCAAGGAGTCTCTGTGTCCTGGGAGATGGGGGGACAGGCCCTAGCGCCGGGCTGGGGGCCCGCGGGCCATAAAGGTCACGACTGTACCGCAGGCCAGCGGGCTGTGTGTGCGTGTATGCCTGTGTGTGTGCACGTGCCTGTGTGTGCGTGCGCGTGTGTGCGCGCGTGTGCCTGTGTGTGCCTGTGTGCGCGCGTGTGCGTGTGTGCCTATGTATGTGTGTGTGCGTGCGTGTGTGCGCGCGTGTGCCTGTGTGCGTGTGCTTCTGTGTGCGTGCGCGTGTATGTGCCTGTGTGCGTGCGCGTGTGTGCCTCTGTGTGTGCGCGCGCGTGTGTGTGCCTGTGTGTGTGTGCGCGCGTGTGCCTGTGTGTGTGTGCGCGCGCGTGTGTGTGCCTGTGCGCGCGCGTGTGTGTGCCTGTGTGTGCGCGTGTGTGTGCCTGTGTGCGTGTGCCTGTGTGTGTGCCTGTGTGTGTGTGTGCGCGCGTGTGCCTGTGTGTGTGTGCGCGCGCGTGTGCCTGTGTGCCTGTGTGTGCGCGCGCGCGTGTGTGCGTGTGCCTGTGTGTGCGCGTGTGTGTGCCTGTGTGCCTGTGTGTGCGCGTGTGTGTGCGCGCGCGTGTGTGCCTGTGTGTGCGTGCGTGCGCGTGTGTGTGCCTGTGTGTGTGTGCGCGTGTGTCTGTGTGTGTGCGTGTGTGTGCGCGCGTGCTCCCGCAGGTGCGAGGTCTGGGAGCCACGATGCCCGGCAGGAAGACCGCGCAGAAAGGCGCCTGGGGTCACCGCCAACAGGTGGCCAGCGGGGCGCTCGCGGGCGGTCCCTTTAAGACGCCACTCGGCCCCGCCCAGCGCCGCACCCCCGCCGGGAGCCGCGCCACGTGACCTGGGTCTTGTGACTGGCGGGGGGGCGGCGAGCGTGGAGGGGAAGCCCGCCCGCCGCCCGCCGCCCGCCAGAGGGGCCTTCCCCGCCGCCGCCAGCCGCGGGGCCTGCGCCGAGCCGTCCAGCGAGCCGCAGCGGAGCACCGGGAGCCGCCGGCGGCGCGGCCGCCCGCCATGGACCACAAGCCGCTGCTGCAGGAGCGGCCGCCTGCCTACACCCTGGAGGCCGGCCAGGGCGACTTCGCGTGCGGCCCGCACGGCTACGGCGCCATCCCCACCGCGCCCCCGCCGCCGCCCTACCCTTACCTCGTCACAGGTGCGCCCGGCCGGGGGCCGCGGGGCCGGGGCCGCGGCTTGGGGGGCGGGCTCCGGGGGCGGGGCCGGCCCCAGCCGTGCGGGCGCCCCGGGAGCAAACTTGGGGCCGAGTCCTCCGGCGACCTTTAACCCCGAAAGCAACTTTTGCCTGGGTGCTGCCCCGGCCAGACCCGCGCGCGGCTTCGGGTACGCGGGCCCCGTGTCAAGCCCCCGCGGGGAAGGGTGGGGGCGCCTCCCGCACCAGGAAGCCGCTGCCGGGCCCTCAGCCCACCGGGGGCCGCGCGCGGGGCCCGCCCTTCCCAGGAAGCAGCTCGGTCCCGGTCCAGACGAACCTGATGAGCGAGGCGGTCTCACTTGAGCCCCTGATACAGCCCCCAGGAGGCACTTGGCGAAGGCAGCTGTTGTCTTGGTTTTGAAAGGGAGAGTTTGTGTGTGTGTGTCGGCGGAGAGAGGACCTAAGTGGTTCTCCGACTCCCCAGATTGACCTCCCCGTCCTCTTCCGATGTGCTTCCTGTCCACAGGGATACCCACTCACCACCCCAGGGTCTACAATATCCACAGTCGAAATGTCACCCGCTACCCTGCCAATTCCATCGTCGTCGTCGGTGGCTGCCCAGTCTGCAGGTATGTCACAGGCCCGGGGCCGGCCCCCAGAAGCCCCTGGGAGCAGACATACCCGGAACCTCGTCCAGGCACAGCCGTAGGGGTGGGCGTCTGGACGCGGGCGAGCGTGGTGGGCAAGATGGGTTCAGTTGTCCTTGGTCTGACCGAGTTGCAAGGGGGGGCCTCTGTTTCTTGGGGAGTCGAGCGCTTTGGCCCATGGAGCCCGGAGGGAAGGGGATACAGAAGTGTTTACTGTTGGGCTGACACCCTCACGTCCACGGTTCTCTTGAAGATTGTGGAAGGTGTCCTTGTCCGGGGCAGGGGCTATTTGAAGTGTGCGGGCAGGGGAGCCCTGACTCAGGTGCCAGCCAGTGTGTTCAAGGGACCAAAGGTCCTGGAGGCCAGGAGGCTACAGTCTGAGCACTGCTCCGTGCACAGCGGAAGCAGGGTGGAAGCCCATGGTTCTTTCTCCCCGGACAGGGCATTTCGTGCCCTCGACAGTTTTCTAGTGACTTTATGTAGGGCCTGAGATGCAGCTAGCTAGATGCTTGTTCTGTGTGGATCCGATTTCAGATAAGACGTGGCCCCTGCCCTTGGTGAATTCAGGTGCTGGGACAGTTTAGAAAGTCAGCACAGACTTGGTGCGGACCGTTGTGTCTGTCTGGAGGAGGAAGTTCAAGTCTCTGAGATGAGATTGAGAAACCCCGGTTCACACTTAGGCTTAATTTCAAAAGTGCATCTAGAGAAGGGCCCAGAGTGGAGTCAGGGAAGTTAATGATTTCAGAGTCACACAGGGCAGCTGTGTGGGAGGCGAGGGCATGACAGAAATGGGGGCGAAAGACTGGACACCCGGAGCCAACTGTGTGCCAAATAAAGGGGGCTGTGGGCACGGGAGAGCCCCTGGAGCTGTGTGTCAGCCAGGGGACCCCATTTGCAAACCCAGAAAGAGTGTCTCTTCTGACACAGCTGGTGAAGGTTGGGCCTGTGTAGATGTGACGGGGGAGGCAGAGGAGGGCGGACAGCTGGCTGCCTCCTGCTCGCCCCTCTTCATGCGGCACTAGGGGGCGTCAGAGCTGCGGGGACTTGAAGGTACATGGGTGGGCTTGGAATAGAGGGGGCATGGCATGGACTGGGAGGCTGGTTATGTGCTGCTGGGCATGGCGAGGGTCAAGGCTTGTTCCCGTGTGGAGAGCCACCTGGAATCCTGGGAGGTAACACGAAGGCGTGAGTGTCGGGAAACCCGCTGTATTTGGCCGAGGTTGGCCCTGGGCGCTCAGCCCTGGTGTGTGCATGGCCCTTCTGTCTCCACTCAGCCCAGCTGAGGATCCCAAGGACCTCTTTTTTAGAGGGGATGTCTTTAAGTCGTCTTACGTTTTAAGTAGCGGTATCGGGCTGGCAGATTCTAGGAGGACCAGGAAGGCACCCGGAGTAGCGTGGTCTGGTTGGGATATCACTGTCTCCCTGCCTTGTCTGACTGGCACCTCCTAGCAGGGCCTAGCCTGCCAGGGGAGCTCGATTCAGATACCGGCCCTGGAGCTGCCACTGGGCCTATTTCCCTGCCTGGGAGGTGGGGAATCTGATGGGACGGTTTGTGAGGCTCTTGTTGGCCACGCCCCTGAGTTCAGAGGAGTAGACACCAGCAACAAGGCCCCTGTGGCCAATGGAGGCTGAGAGCCAAAACTGAGATGTCTCCAGGGCTATGAAGCTTCCAGGCCACTGGCTGGACTGCTGCCATGGGGGGGGGGGGAGCATTTCCCGGTACCTCCTTTTCCCAGAGTGGGAGCTGTGTCATTTCAGAGGCCGGTGGCTTCTGCCCCATGGTTTCCAGTCATTCAGAATCGGGAGCAAGGTTGGGCTGTGTCCTCTGCTCTCTGGGGAGCATCTTCGGCCGGGCTGAGGGCAGGGTGCCTGCATTTGACCCGGCTTGGGACCACGTCTTGCTGCTCTGGGTGGTGGGTGGCAGGCAGTGAGGAGGGTGCTCTGAGAACAAGTGTGGGGGCTGAGTTGGGACCAAACACACTGACTCCTCCTGAGGCATGTCCTGTGGGCCCTCCCGTCTGTGGGGGGAGGAGGACAGATGCAGCAGTAAGGGTCCTTCCCTGAACTCGGGTTTCTCACGTGGGAGTGTCTCTGCCCTTCCTGCTGGAGCCGGTGGCCCCTTAGCCCTCTGCCTTTGCAGCGGTGTGTGGGGGTGGGCATGGCTGGCCATGGGCTGGGGCTGGGCAGCACAGTGAGGGAGAGGCTGGGCGCTTTCCACGGAAGCACCGCTCTGGTGTGGGTGTGGGCGTGGGCGTGGGGGCCTTGGGGCGCGTCCTCTCCAGGGAGAGTGGAGAGGTTTCCCCTGGGTGTGGTCCAGTGCAGCCACTGCCTGTCGGGCTTCATAGGCTTGGGAGACAGGCCACTTCTCAGTGACCACACTGCCGCCTCCCTTTCCACTCGGCTCGCCAAGCTCTGTCTCCCTCCCTCCCTCCCTCCCTGGCAGCTTGGCAGGAATTTGCTGAAGTCACACGGCTGCGATTCCCTGTGAGTGAGGTCTGGTGTAAGAGGTCTGTGTCACTTATCACTTTGCCATTGTCCAGCCTTCCCTTAAGCAGCCTGACTCCATCCTCCCTTTTTTAGCTAACCGCATGAGCATTTCTGTCTACTCCAGCAGGTGAGCGTGTGGTCCTCCCGTGGGGATGTGGCTATCCCAGACACAGGACCCGGTGGCAGCACTGTGGGTCTGGGATCTGGGCCTGGCCGGGCTCCGCTTGGGCTGTGATGGGGCAGCCTGTGGAGAGGGCCTGAGCAGCAGGGGTCAAAGGCTGGAATGTGATGAAAGCAGCAGACGCAGGGCCTGGTCTGCACCGGGCCCCCTGCTGATACTGGCTGGGTATCACTGGTATTTAGTTTTGGGGGTGACCAGAGGGGTAGGAGAAACTCCAAGAACAAGGGTCTTGGAAGCCAAGACTCAGGGAATAGCCGTCAGTCCAGAATGTGGCATGGGTGGTCAGCATGGGTGCTACTGGTGACCCTGGGAGGCAGACAGGCCTTGAGCACGTGACACATGGCATGCAGTAGCAAGGCGGAGTGTGGACGGCTCATGAGAGGAGGGGGCTTGTGCCAGAACCTCGGGGAATTGGCTGTATCTGGACTGGCTAGAAAACAGGCCGCCAGGACGGGCCCTGCCCATCTCACAGCCCGTGGTTCTCCCTGTCCTGGGGGGAGCAGCACCCGAATGAGTGGGGACTTGTGTCCTGGTCTGTACTGGGCAGGGTGTGCAGACTGTGGGGCCCAGAGCTAGCTGGCTGGCTGTCACCTGTTGGCCCTTTAGGTCGTGCTCAGAGTCTCTAGTCTGGCTGCTCCTGGCCTGAGCCTGCGTGGCCCACAGTGAGTCCCTGGCAGGCCCGGCTGCCTGGTGGGCCTCCCTGAGCCCCTGACCTCAGGCTCAGCCCCCACTGGAGGCAGAGCTGTGCCTGGGCATTCTGGGGGGTTGGGAATGAAGGGCCTGAGGCTGCTTGGTCATCAGGCTTGTTCCCAACTGCGCCCGAGTGGCCTGTGGCTCTTTGGGGGTCCTGAGCACTCCCCCTGTCCAGGCAGGTGTGCCTCCCACTCCTGACGGGGGAGTGGGACTTGGTCTCTGAAGGGGGCTGGCCGGGTGCTTTGGGGCATCTGCCCCTGCCCCCTCCCCGAGGAGGCCGGCCTGTGACAGCTGGTCTGGGGTTGCTAGCAGTGAGTGGGCATGAGCAGGGAGGGCTGCAGGAGCCAGGGCACTCACTGCTTGGGGCACAGCAGTGGTGAGGCCCCAGGTGGGTTGTTCCCAACCACACCAGTGGATGCCTGCACGGGCCCTCCCCGCTCTGGGCCCTCCCCGCTCTGGGCCCTCCCCGCTCTGGGCTCCAGCTTCCTGTAAGGGGCACAGTGATGGTGCCTGGGCGGGACTTGCTGTGAGGACTACAGGTGGTGAGGACGAGGTTCTTCCTGGTTGGGTGCCTGGCCTTGGGATGCTCTGGGGCCATGCGGGCTGCAGGGCCTCCGTCTAGTTCATCTTAGAGGCCTGCCCGAGGCTGCTCCTGCAGACGGCAGTGGGACCTAGTGGCCACTTTCTCTGGAAGGTCAGAGTCAAGAGTTAAGCATTTTCAGAATTAGTTCTCTGATTCTCCAGATTCCATAGGACCCATTGCTCAGGGTGGGGGCAGGGCCTTCAGCCACTGCCAAGCCCATTTACTCAGCTGGAGTTGTGAGCCAGTTGAGGAGCTGAAGTTCACTCCTCCGGGACTGATTGGGGTCTTTGGGGTTTTGGAGAGGAAGAGTGCAGGGCTATTGGGCAGAGGCTGATGGAGGGCAGCACATCTTCCCTGGGGATGTTCCCACTCCATGCTTGTTCAGGGTATCCCCTGGCGCCCGCAGGGGCTCCACAGAAATGGGTACCAGGGTGCGTGTTGCTGCATCAGGACTGGCCTAGAGACCAGACTGTGCTTCTCAGTTTCTAATCTTTTAGATTTTAAAAAACTGTAAATTACGCCAATGCTGCTATTGAGGTCTGGGGCAGTGCCTGTAGGCAAAACATTAACATTTCTGCAGCAAGACACAGATACATTAAGTGGCTAGAGCAGCTCACATAAGGCTGTTCGGTGAGTGCTGCGAGCCGAGAAGCTCTGCTTCCTGAGCTCTTGGCATTGGGAGTTGTGGGTGAGAGCTGTAGACTCCAGGGAGGACTGCCCATGTGCTCGGAGCCTCCTGCTGGCCGGGCAGAGACCAGTTTCCAGGCTCTGATCGCTCGGGCTCATCTCAGAGGAAGGTGGTGTGGGTCTGGTCGTGGACTTGCTGGCAGGAACTAGATTCTGCCCAGCCCCCTTGTTACTGAAGGGAACACTCTAGCTCTTTCTGGGGACCACGGCCTGCTGAATGGCAGATAGCAAGATGGGGGCTCTGCTTTGGGTGGGCAGGGCTGGGGAGGGGTGCGTGTGTGTGTGCGTGGGGGGTGGGTCTTGTCATTCTCAAACCCGGGCCCCTGACTGAGCATCAGAAGAGGCAGCCCACTGCCAGCTAGCTCTGGCCAAAGTGATGGATCTGGGCAGACAGTACCACAGGGGGCTTCTGGGGCACCGAACAAGGGAGGTGTGGGCCTTCTGAGGCTGGTCTGATGCCCACTGGGAATCAGTGCCCAGGTGGGGCTGGTCTCCCTGGCCTCCTGGCACAGAGGGCCCTGGTGAGAGTGTCCAACTCTCCTGGGCTTCCTCTAGCTGCAGACAGTGTAGACCAGGGTTTTTGGGTCTGAACAGAATGAGGGAAAATGCAGGTGGGAGCTGTTGCCCTTTGGCATTTGACCCCAGAGAACAGAAGTAACCAGCAGGCTGGACAGTTCGTATGGGCAGGTTCACTGGGCAGCACTGCAGGGGTGGCCTCCTGGAGCCTCTGAGGGGACGGTCTGGGTTCTAGGCTCTGCCTTGTAACAGCTTTGATTGTCAAGTGGATAATACAGAGTGTCCAGCCCAGGTGGTCGGTCCCTGGAGGGTATATGGGGAAAGGACCCTGGCTTCCCTCTAGAAGCTTCTTGGCTGGTTCGGGTGACTCATGGGACCGTGGTTCGCTTTGGACTCTGCTTTTCCACTGGATGTTCGAATGGGAAGTGCAAGTCCATGTGGTTCTTGGGGTCTCAGCTGTAGGAGGAAGCAGGACATGGAGCCAACCCGGTGCCAGAGCTCTGAGTGGTCCAAGGCCAGCAGGCCACCTCGTTCCTCTGGAAGTGGCTTGATTCGTATTAGTAGTAGTGGGAGCTGTTGGCCATGACCGTGGACAGAGCAGGTGTTCCCAGCCACCTATGTGCGGGGCCACAGCTGGTGGCCCCGGGCCTTCCTGAAGTCCCCATTCCCTACTTTTGCACAAGGCCTCAGGTGCTTTTTCAGCTGGATCTTATGCTGTCCTGACACATGGTCTGAGAGAGAGCCCTGAACAGCCAGGGGACGGGCTCGGGAGTAGTGTGCTGGCCTAACCTTTGTCATACTTGGACTAGCAGGAACGGTAGCTGCCATACAAGTTCAGGCCTGCTGGTCGCTGTCCCTTAGACCGGGCCTTGCTGTGCGCTAGTCCAGCTGCTCAGCACACACAGAAAGGGTGGCACTCCTGAGTCTGGGAAATGGGGTGAAACAAAGGTAAACAGGTGTCTTCCCTGCAAGACTTCTCAGAGCCCTTTATTTTATTTATTTATTTTTATCCTTACCCGAGGACATTTTTCCATTTTTTGTACAGATAGAGCGGGAGGGAGAGAGAGAGAGAGAAACATCGATATGAAAGGGACACATCGAGTGGCTGCCACCCGCACGACCAACCAGGGCTGGGGACAAACTGCAACCGAGGTACGTGCCCTTAGCGGGAACCGAACCCGGGTCTCTCCGGACCGCAGGCCGATGCTCTAACCGCTGAGCCAAACCGGCCAGGGCTCAGAGCCCTTTCTAAACTAATGTATATCATGACTTCAGGAGGGGAAGGTGGGCGGTTTCCCAAAATTGGACATTTTTTCACTTATGCTTAGAAAGATTAGGAAGGAAGGAGAGAGGGAGAGACAGAAACATCTATGTGAGATAGACACATAGACTGGCTGCCTCCCCCATGACCCCGTCCAAGTTGGAGGATGAACCACAACCGAGGTACGTGCTCTTGGCTGGAACCGAACCAGGGTCTCATTGGTCCGCTCTAACCACTGATGAACCCAGCCAGGGCCGTTTTATTTTTGTGAAGTTCACCAGGGGGACCTGTGTTTCAGGATGAGCACCTTTGGGAAATGCTTCTAGAACGCATCCTCCCTTGTAGACGTTTCGGGCACTCGTCTCCTGAGGGTGTGAGGGAGGGAGGTGGGCATGGAGTGAGACTTTTTCTTTAAGCTATTGAAAACCAGATTTCTTTCGTCTGATGTATTTTCTTGTGACCCCAGCAGAGCTGGGAGGCTGCAGCAGGCCGACAGTTGTGAGCAGCAGCAGCAGCTCTCATCTTCAGAGGAGGAAGCCCTGTTTTGGCATGTTTCACCTTGACGCTTGTTTGCTCTTTTATTAAGCTGAACCTTCCTCCTCCATACAAGGTGGCAAAACAGGGAGAAGCAGCTGCTTCCAGAACGTTGTGGGCATAAGGATCCTCAGCAGTATTTGCTGACGATGGGGCTAAGGAGGGGACAGAGAAAGTTAGCTTCAGGAAGACACAAGGAGGCTGGGAGGGACATGCGGGGGCATGGGAATGGGTGCAAAGGTAGTAAAGCAGTGGGAAGGAGTGTCGAGGCCTCCCCACCTGCAGCTGCCCTTAGCTCAGTGTGGTGGACAGGGCTGCAGGTGCGCCAGGGTCCCCAGGGCGCAGCTGCTTCCTGCTGGCTTTGTCCAGCTCCCAGGTCTGTCAGGTGGGAGAGAGACATTTCTCATTCGGGCCGAGCTGGCTATTGTAGTTCTCATTTTAATTTCAGCCGTGTCCAGAACTTTCCCGAAGTAGCTTAAGGAGTAAAGGTGGAGCTAAACACACAGCTCTTGCTTCCCACTTTGGGGGGCGGGGGGGGGGCTTTGAAAAGGACCCTTGAATCTGAGTGGTGAGTACCTATACTCATTGGCACCTGATTTTGGCGATGTCCCCCTACGTGTCTTAGGTATTCTATATTGTGCACATTAAAGGTATACTTGACATTTTTTCTGAAGAGGAAGCTTTGAGATGAAATTTCTAAGTGGCTTTTCAGACTATGTGAATGTGGCTGATTTTAGTCTTTCACTAAAATCTGCCCCCCCCCCCCCAGTTATAAAAATCAAAATTCTGAACTCTACCTCTATTTTTGGAATTTCCCTCTAGAGGATAGAAAACACTCTTTTCAATACTGGGGGGGAAAAATGATTTGGTTGTCTTGGTCTTGATGTTTTCAGAGATGCAAGAATTTTTATAAAAACGAGTATTTGCTTCTTTCTTTTGTAAAAGAAAATGTGGCAGATTACATGGCAACTGAAGGTTGCCTTTATATAAATGGTGATAGCTTTCAAGTCCCCCCCCCTTTCTGGGCAGTGGCTGAGCGCAGCAGGTGGCCTCCCCCCGCACGAGGCCTCGGTGCTGCGGAGCTGCGGGCCACAGGGCTGGCTGCCGAAGGCAGGTGAAGACTGCCTTTGTACTGTCACGTGCCAGAGGTCTGGGGGGACATCAGGCCGAGGGCCCTAACCCGAGCCCCATCTCTCTCTCCGCAGAGTCGGGGTTCTGGAGGACTCCTTCACCTTCCTGGGCATCTTATTGGCCATCGTCTTGTTCCCCTTTGGGTTCATCTGCTGTTTCGCCTTGAGGAAGCGAAGATGTCCCAACTGTGGAGCAAACTTTACCTAAAGGGAACAGCACATCTGGCTTTCCCCCATCCAGCTATCTTTTTCTAATGTAAATGTCGTGTACAATAGCTTTATTTGATTAAGCTTCAGGACTGTTTTGTAAAGGGAGGTGGGATAGACTTGGCATGTGCAGGCCGGGGTCATGGAGAGTGGACACGCAGCGACACTGCTCCCAGGGTTAATGACAACTCAGTAAAGCACTGCTTTTATTTTTTTGCAGTCTTCAATTTGAAAAAGGTGAGAAATTCTGTTTTAAATAAATGAGATTCATACCATTGTTTACCTGGTTCTGCTTATTCAGTGTTTGTACACTGCCACTTAAAACAACTTTATTTGGAAAATTTCAGACGTGAAATAGAGACTGGAGCAACATACCACCCAACTTTAACACTGTTCCATTCTGTTATTTCTTGATAGGCATTTACAGCTCAAGAAAAGTTTTCAAGTTCTCTTTTATTATAATGAACATAACACCTTGACCTTTACAGAGCATGCGCCTCAGTGCCAGGACAAGGCAAGCCTCCCGTCCTGTGGGAGGCAGGTAAGTGACCACTAAGGTCTGTTCTGTGAAGGTGGAGATGGGCTGGGCGAGTCGAGGCGGCTGTGAATTGCATCTGGCGATCCAGGGCCAGAGCTCTAGAGGTGGGGTCTTCTCCCTCATTAACACGCCTGAGACCTAGACCCAGCTCCCCTGCCCACTGTTGAAAATAATGGGCTTCTGTGAACCTTACTCTTACCTAGATGGTGAGGGGAGCCGTGGGCCACTTGACTGAATTCGATTGTGGTTTCTTTGCTGGCGGGAGCGTCCTTCTCAGGATGGGTGCTGCTTGACACCTGCACTCTGCCTGGCTCAGTCCTGGGGGAGCCTCACACAGCCCTGTGTCATTAGCACCCCTTGGCTGACCCAGCCACGAGGAGGATAGGACTATGTACCTGAAGCCTCACACTGGTTTACCTTGGCCAATTTCAAGCTTATGATAATATGTATGGTAAGACCAAAGGAGCTCTGAGCAACAAGCCCCCTTCCCTGCCCACACAGCGAATGGCCTAGGTGTGACTGAGCTGTGATCCTCCACGTTAGGACCTAATCCCTGACAGCCAGCAACAAACCTGGCCACTTGCTCAGAGCTCCCTCCCAGAGAAGCCCAGGTTCCTAGTGCGTGACGGTAGGTCTCAGCAGAAGTACAGACCCTCCCAGCGGTCCTCCTGGCTTTATAAGCACAGTTTATGCGTCGGTACCTGGTGGAGAAGTGTCAGAGGAAATTAGTTCCAGAGGCAGCTTTGGTCAACTAGCTTAGCAAGAGCACCCTGGTTTCTACACGTGGATCTATAGGTGCGCATGTTACCCTCTGGCCAGGCCCACATGCGGCATGGCGGGTTTTCATTGGTCACCTCAGAACCACCAAATTCACTAGCTCTGGGGAATTCAAGTACCGTGGCTGGGAGAGGCCAAACATGTCAGCACGCCACAGCTGGGTCTACATCAGGGGGAAGATCGGAGTCCCTCCATTTTAACTAAAAAAAATTTAAACATTTTAAGTAAATTTTCATAATTTATATTGCTTACGATGCTTCTTCAGATAAACATCGTAATGCTACTTCAGAGCAGGTGCTTTACAAAATAAAACTGTGGTCTCATCTGCATGCAGGTACAGAAATTTCACCAGTAATGAAAGCACAGACTACCCCTTATTCTGGCTATTTAAAAAAATCATCATAGGCTTAAAAAAAAATGACAGGATTGGAACCAAATTTACTGTTTTGAACAGAATAGGAAGCACATACTTTGAGTTGGTCACTCAACTAGTTTATCTTCTTAAGGACAGAAATGTGCAAACCCAGCTATGTGAAATTGAGAAAATGCATTGATTTGTTCGAGTAGAACACGTTGAGAATCAGGCGCCCTCTGGTGAAGCGTCATGACAGTTACAGCATGAACCACACCTATGATTTTGCAAGTGAGAACATCAGAAGATTCAGAAGAAGCCCTTGGACATCTTTTCATCGAATGATTGGTGCTGATCGATCATTTGTCACCGTCGGTCGGAGTTTCACAGTAGCAAATGGGTTTTCTCCACTGTGGGGGAAGAAAAAATGTGTCTGCAGAAATACCAGAAGATGGGAATTTGAAGAAACTAAAAATTGTTCTGGCTCTGTAAAAGTATACACCTCATTTAATTCCGGGCAGCATTTTCTAAATAGGAAAAGTCTCACAGTAGCAGCTCTCTCCATTTTGAACACAGGAGAGCCCAGCCCTCTGCAGGCCTCTGTTGGGGGGTTAGGTGGGACAGCCGTCTAGGACCAGGCCTGGGTTACTGAGTTGCCATGTGCAGCGAGTGAGCACCCTTCTGGATCCTCCCTGGACTGTGATGAGAGCAAGGTGGCCACATTCTCCTGAGCCCATCTCAGGATCGGGCTCCTGGGCTCTGCACCAAGGCGGCCCTCCCAGGGGACATTCCAGGCTGCTCACCAACAAGGAGGGCAATGGGCAGCTTGGCAGGGCTTGCGGAGAGAGTTCACATACCTGAGGAAAGGGTGCTTTGCAGTCCCGTTTGTGTTACTCTGTGGAAAGATAATGCAGTTTATGGAAGGCTCGTGAAACTGGGACATTTAAAGTTAGACTCGAAGGTAGAGGTGTCTAAAGACAGGACTGGTTAAAGCCATGAATGTTTAAAGGTGCCCTGGAGTCTCAGTTCATTTGAGACTGTTTAGAATCTAAAGTCACTTGAAAGAATAAGGGCAAGAACAGAACATGTTAAAAGACAGTGAGGGACCCTCACGAGTGTTGGAACGTCGCGGGCTCGGGGAATAGGGCCTGGGTTCCTTGCCCGTGGCCTTCAGGTGTAGAACCAGCGAGTGCAGTTGGCTTGTTGGAAGCCCAGTACTGAAAGGGAGCCATGGAAAAACGATGAGCGAAACTGAAATCTTGGTGGGCTTTGGTGCCCACAGACTGGTGCCAACTGCCACCCAGATCTTGCAGAAGTTCCACAAAGGGAAGGGAAGACCGACGTGAACACTACGCCTTCAAGGACCACCAGAGCCCTGCGGGTGCCTGGCAGGCCTTACTTCCCGGGGACTTAGGGTCCCCCAGGGCCAGGGGCCAGGTGTGTGCCACCTTCCCTTCAGTCCAGAAAGCTTGCAGATGAAAAATCTGCTTTAAACCTGCTCTGGCTGTTTTAGGAAAGTACTGCTCCAAGACCGTGGGGTTACTCAGGGGCCGCCCAGAAGAGGGCGGTGTGCTGCTGTCTGACCAAGGGGCCACCTGCCAGCTCCCAGGACTCCCTGCGGTCAGGTGCGCAGACCTTGAACACTGGCGAGGCGAGCTCCTCTCACTTCCTGCAGCCAGCTGGGGGTGGCAGGCAAGCCAGGCAGATGCCCAGACCAGGGCTCCTGAAGAGGCCTGTACTTTGGACCTACTGACAAAGCAGAGGGCTAGGAATACCTGAGCCTGCTGTCTCTGGGCTCTGAGGACCTCACATCTTGATCTTGCACTCCAGGGCCAGCAAGGTCATCCTGATGGCGAGCTCCAGCACCAGGAGGCAGAGTCCCCACTCCCGACTCACCCTTTCTCACAAAGCAGCTGCCCTGCGTAGTGTACCCTAACAGGACATACATGTGTCCTCAGCAGGCCCCTAGCAAGCACGCCTGCTGTAGCATTCATATTCTATGATTTAGGGACGCCAGTACACCAGGATGCCTGCCATGCAATTCCACGGGCGCTCACGTGTACGGCCTCGTGCAGAAAGCCCAGAATGGGGCCCCAAGGGCTGGGAAGGCACCGAGTCCTGTGAGAGAAGGTCCCTGTGGCAGCTCAGGGTCAGGAGGAAGGGCAGCTGAGTCTTCTCGGTCTGGGAAGTGCACTTCCTGCCAAACTGGAATGCCCATGCTCTGCTTCCACACGACACACTAGAAACCATGTTCTGCCTTTCCTCCGGGCAGGGCAGTGTCTCCCTCCCATGTGTATCGAGTCTGGGGAAGGGTCTGCTCTGAACCCAGAACACCTCACTTGGGAGCACCCCAACTGTCCTCAAGCCTTGGGGCTTGTTCCCAGACGGCCTCCCGCCCCAAGGGAGCTTCAGAACCAGTCTGGCCACCTTGTGTCACCTGGGTGCTCAGCCCACAACATCTGAGAGAAACACAGGGGGAGAGAAATAGCACAGAACGTCCTGGGCAGAGAAGTGACAAGAAGGAAGGGCTTGTGCTGAGGAGGAGGGCACCGTCACCTAAGATGATGGCCTGAACCACGCAGTGCTGAGGCCATGGGTCGTGCTGTGGTTCTAGAGCTGGTGCTGGTTACACCTGTTGCTTGGTGAAGTCACTGTGTACTTTACATGGTATCCTCCAGTGTTTACCATAAAAACATGACATATTCTAAAAGGTTTCCTTTTTAACACTTCCCACCAAGCCCCTTGCTATGGCCACAACCGATCACTGTCCCCAAACCTGCCCTCCCCCCTTTTCCATCTGCAGAGGAAGGGCACCTCCAGGCTGGATGTGGCACTGCCCTCATTGGGCCAGTGAGAGCTCATGTTAGATCCAGAGTGTCTGCAGAACCACCCCCCACCTCACACCTGACCACACAGCCCCATCTCTCTTATCGGCTGATGCACTTCCCCATCATCTGACAAATGCTGCCTTGTTCTGCAGGAACACCAAGGTCTCTCCTCATGCTCTGTCCCTGGACCCGATGTGTCTTGGTATGGCTCCTGCAGGCCCAGGGGCTGCCTCATCCCTGTTCCCTCAGGACATGCACAGTATGGGCACACAGCATGTGCTCAGACCACATCTGCGGAGCTAAGCCACCAGGTCCCATAGCCAGTGGGCAGAAAAACCGCTCCTGCACACATCCCATTCTCCAAGGCAGCGGTGTGCATCCTGTCTCCCGTTCCCCCTCAGACTGTCAGAGCAAGGCCCTGAGCGCCGGTCCCTGTGGCCTTGCTGGCACAGCCTGTTGTGGGTCCAGAGTGCACTCGACGAGACAGATCATCCAGGCACGAAACCAGGTGCTGATAGGTCAGGCACATCGAGAGTGGAGTGGCCACCACAGGACAGTGGCAGTGAAGGCCCTGGGACTGCACAGCAAGACAGCACCCCCCCGCTGGCTGTGGCCAAGCAGGGTTCGGCAGAGTGGGGCACACCTTGTGATTTCTCCAGGAAAAACCACACCCAGGTCCACCTGGAGTGGGCATTTGCTGACTCACATGGCATCCTCTCCACCCAGATTTCTGCTCGGGTGCCCACCACAGGCCCACCTTCCTTGAAGGGGACCAGTTGGTCCTG